TTATCAGATGTTGACGGAGTTCTATCTCCGAAAAGACGAATTTTACGTTCTAATGCGCGCTCTGATTCAGTTTGACTTCCACTTTTACGTACCCGTTCAATGAGCCCCTTAATAATTGTTAAGCTATTTGTTATTATTATGTTTATTTAACAAAATAAAATATACTTTACCATAAAGTTTTCTTCGTGGAAAAATCTGGTATCCATTACACGATCTAAGGAACGACAGGTTTTGTAGGCATGAATAAGTTTCTTCATAACCTAATTGAATAATTTCATTAATTTTTATATATAATTATATAGGGACAAAATCATACACTTACTTCAGTACTTTGCAGATTAGGACTTAAATGGAAAATTTCTTCTAATCGCGCTAAAGAAACTCGTGCCGTTTCTAAGCTTGTAAGTGTATGCGATGGACACATTTTAATAGTGAGATCATCACCGTATTCACTGTTTTCCGATTGAGTTTCCCAAGAATCATCAGAAGCTTCACTGTACTCATCATGCTCATGGTCTACAACTTCAAACAGATCTTGTGGCCAGCAGGAGGTGATACTGCCGTCTACCCATCTAACCTTTACAGTGCCCTCTTGACAAGTATTTATGATCTGACCTGCAGCATTTGTATTATTCGCAACATCGAAATTGTCTACACGTGTGACAATTGTACCAGGGCGATATTGGAAATCTGGATGATCTTTCAGGTCATAAACACTTTCCTCTGTTATACCGTTATAGGTAGGCCTATAAATAGAACGAATAATATTAAAATCTTCGACAATAAAATATGTGTATACAATTACTTGGGCTCTTCACTGTAGGTGTATGTTGTAAACCATTTCACACGAGCCGTTCTTCCATAATGATCAACTGACTGAATTACACCATAATCACGATAAGTCATATCGTTACTATCCTTTTCATACATCACATAGTCGCCAGGGAAAAATTCCTACGCCATTTTTTGGGGTTACCAAAATATTTCCAAATAACAAACAATATATTATACTTACATGAGTGTCCAATTGATTAATATGATATAATTCAGTCGAAGGAATATCGGTTTCTCTCGTGCCATCTTGCCACATTATGGTTATTTTACTATGCATAACTAGTGCTTCGACGGCTACTTTTTCTCCATATTTAAACGTTTTCTGTAACTTATCTGTTGATGCATATGAACTACTTCTTTTAGACTTTCGTAACATTTTCACTTTACGCGTACGTTTACGATCTCTTGGCTCGTCAAAAGACGAATTGGATACAGTAGCTGAAGTAGTAGCACTTGAACTTTCATCAATCCAGCTTGAGTCATCCTCTTTATCGCTTTCTGCTTCTTCATCCTCATCTGAATCATTACTCGATATTTTTTGATGCGAAGGCATTTGGAACTTAGTTTTGAATGCAGACTTAATTCTATTTGTAGATTCAGCTTGTGGTAGCTTCTTTAATTTCTTTAAAGCATTACCTTTATGTTGATACAAACATTTATCATTTCGTTTTTGCTGTTCCTTGAATATTTTTTTAAATTTTTGTGCTAAATGTGAAAACGAAATTAAATTAACTAAAATGTTTCATAAATTCATTTTTTATTATTTACCCTGTTCTCGATCCCAGTCAGATTTTTTTACAATTTTATCCGTAGACAACAATTCAAAAAAGAATAGATCATTCATACGCAATAAATCAGGTAATTTTAAAGGCTTTATTTGCTTTAAGTCTTCACCATCGAAAAAATTTTTTGGTTCTTCGATTTTTGTGGTTTCAGCAGTCGAATCTTCAGACAATGCTCTACACTGCCAATGCACCCATGCACTCTGTACATAAAGTGACTCAACTGTATATTGTGCTTTAATAGCTTTGCCTCTAATATCGAAAGGTAATGGTTTAAATGGTGGCAATAATTTAACACTTGACATTTGATGTGGGCGACCAATAACTGTATTACCAGGATAGAAAAAATGAGTATTAAACACTGTACCATTTGCAGAACGGTTATCGTTAAAGTTATCAAATTCAGTTGAATCCAAATCAAAACGCACACCGCTAGTGGATCTAGGATATATACGAATCAATGTATTAGCAATTTTTCTTAAAAATACATTAATAGGTGTTTTACCTTAATACTGCTCTTTCCTCAACTTCTTTAACGGTACCGACCCATGGACCCATCACCACTACACATTCATTATATAAGTCTGTTAAGTCTGACAATCTCTCAGATGATATATTTGTCACCACATATTTACTACCGCATACTTTCACATCGGCATTTATTTTAACTTCTTGCACATAACCACGTTGTGTGTCCATACCTTTAACCAATCTACGAACTATGTCACCAAGCATAAACGAGCGATCGACTAGTCCAATCTGTGGATTGAATAAAGTATACTTGTTTAATTATAATAATAACAAAAATCAAAATGTAATATAATATCGATATGATTTTATTGAAATTATTTAATTAGAATTTATAAAAATAAATTATAGTACATATCTTTATGTGGTGATATAACTTTTTTAAGAGTTTCTTAGAGAAAAATTACACAATTATATAGAAACTATTTTATAAACTATACTGACTAATTTAGTACTTTGCTATATTACTTTTAAAAGTAATATGCCAGTTGAATATAGTTCAATAATGTTGGATATTCTGATATAAGAAATGTGTTTGTATGAACACCATTTATTATGTAATGATTACAACAACAACACAAACACCTGGAGTAAAAAACTAAGAAACGATTGGTGTGAGGTGAGTTAGTATAAAGTATGGTAATATTTAGATTATAGAAAAATTGGGTGTACCCTTGAAACCATTTGTCAATATCAGGGACTAGTAAAAAAACGGATTACCATTTTGTAGGTTGTTAATGGTAAAGAATGAATGGTGCATAAATGATTTGATACTGACTTTTCTTAATAGGTTCTTAATTAAAGTATGTTATGTAAAATGGAAGTATGTGTTCGGTACAAAAATTTTACTTTAAAAGTTTTAGATTAAGGAATGATATGTAAAATAAAATAGTGTATGTGTTTTCGTGACATTTAATAGTCAAGGCTATATAAAATTTTTTTTAGAAAACTATAATTTTTTAATATTTTTGGTTTGTCTTAAGAAATATATAATACAAATATTACTTCAAGCACTGAATAAATTAAAAAGATTCTGTAAAAAAGAAACTGTTTCTAAGCTATTTTTGTAGTGTCGGGAACAACCAGGTGTAAATTTCGCTACAAAATCATTGTCTGTACGGAGGACTAGGAGTCAACTATCTTATTATTGACCCAAAATATAAAATAAATTATTTCTATATGCTCAACTAAAGTTTTAGAATATTGGAACTGTAAGATTTAATTATAAATTTTTTGTTTACTTTTTAGAATAGAAAATAAATATTACTGTTTACTTGAAAAATAATATACAATTATCAATTATAAGTGCAAATGCGATACAGTGGAAGCTATTAAAACAGTTGTATATTAAAAAAAAACAGCTTTATACATAAGGTTTAAAGCGGTTGGATAAATCTTTACTAGTTTAGATACATAGTTCGTATATTCTTTATATTGATTAAGTGAATCATTACACAAATACAAATGTATAAATAAAACATTTGTTAATAATTTATTGCTATTTTAGTGTAGAGAAATATTTCACTATTTTGTTATTTTAATTAAGCAGCGAGCAGAGTTTAAATATTAGATATGCCAAATATATTATAAAATTTGACACGTAATCTGTTGAAATGATAGGCATACATATATAGGCAGGATATTATATTATTTAATATAAATAAAAATTTGAAATAATTAGGTTTATTCACAAATACCAACATTTTAATTTGCATGTGACAGTTATCCTTGAAAAAATTACATAATCCTTTATAATATGGTGACAACATTGCTTTCAAGTTCAATAACTTTTTAGGTAGATATATATATAATATATACATAGATTAAAACTATATATTATAAATTAATATTAATTAAAATTAAACTAACTAACCGCATTTTCTCTGTAGATAACACGTTTGCCTTCTGGATAGAAACTAACACGAACTTCCCCTTTATTAAGATTTCGTTCATAATCTTCTTCCTCTTCTTCACCACCAGAATTAGTATCAACTGTTTCAAGGACAATGCCAAATTTTACTTTGCCATTCCGATCTATGCGGAAAACTTCATCCTCACTAAACATTTGTGCGTCGCATAGCTCACTAGGTGACTGGGATCTCAAATATTTCTGTAAAAATCCTGGTCCATCAACGTCCATTGGTGGTATGAACTCCACATCGTTGTTTATTTTTTTTTCTGCACCATAATCTGTATTTACAGCTGGTGTTTCTTGTAGTACTTCCGTTACACTTGCCGGTGAAGACTTTTCCATCTTCTCGTTCCTAATTATAAAAAATTATGTGTCTTTTATTTAAAATATACCCTTTCTAATGTAAATATTACTTAATTAAGAAACAATATTAATTATAAAAAAATAACACGTCCCGTTAGCTGTTTTAATTTTTATACAATTGAACATCTAAAATCCAACTTTTGCGCAACTAACGGAACAATTAGCCAAACTGTTAAAACAAAAAACAAAATTGCACTAGCTACATCGCACATATACGGAATAATGCCAAACTAATATTTATAACAAAATGGGAACGTCGGTATTTGACAATTGAAAACATCTGTGCTAACAAAACAGTGTGTACAAATTGACGCCAGATGTCGCCACAGCTATAATTTGATTTTAAAATATTTTTAAAATATTCATACTATATTAACATACATACACATAAATACACACAGATATACTAGTATGACGTGAAATATTGTGTATTTAATATATATTTACTTATATTTTTTATTTTTAGGCAAGGTATTTTGATTTTAATAATTTTTTACATATGTGTTAAGCTAAACACTTGCAGGAATCAACGTCATAGCACACTACAGTCAGTCGTTTTGGGTTCTATATTAGAGGATTTATTATCTTAACCCAAATATATATATATGATTGGATGTAAATATATAAATAAAAGTCCTTCTATTACGGGTTTATTACGGGTCGAATCTCAAAGCTCGACTTATCATAAACACAGGAATGTGCGTAAATTTTGCACTTAACATACACCAAGATAATTAAAATTTCTAAAAATCTGGCTACATCTTAATAACACGACATCTATATATTAATATAATCTGGAGTAATCTTTAGTCTATTCTATTTTTCAAATATTTAAAATAAAAATTTTTTAAATTTTTTTTGCTTTGACGGCCAAAAAACTAGATACTTTATCTTTGCATCTATTTGATGTCATCTATATATACAGTGTTGGAAGTGTGACGCAATTCATATTAACCGTTACTTGTTGATACATTGTGATGTCTTTATATTAAACTTACTTTTTTAAATTGAAATTAAAATTCATTATAAATAAAGTTTTGCAAGAATTCAATCCAATTACAACCAATCAATCAATCAGTCTTCCTTAAAGTAATCCAGTTAAACAATTAATACTGATTAAAATAGTAATTTCGTCTTTGTTATTCTCTATCTAAAATATGTTAAATTTGAAAATAAGTTTTTTATATTTGCAACTATTTGGCCTTTATTTCTACTTACAATTTCAATGACAAAATAAACAACAAATAACTATTATTACTTTTATAGTAATTTCTTGAAGCCGTGAATAAGATTTAAAATATTCTTATTTAAATTTTGATACCTTTGTTAAATGTTAACAATATATATTTTATATTATAAGTAAAAGTAAAATTTTAAAAAACTTTTTTTTTACCAGCCAACTATAATCAAAAATTGTTTAGAAAAACTAAATGTATAGTTTAAATATATTTTTCTATTATGCTATATGATATATAAAAACTTCAGATCTATGATATCAAATTCTCTCAGTTTAGTAAAGTTCACGAAGAAGTATTCTACCTGTTTTGGGCATCTACATAACGCTTTTTAAAATTTTATACTTCTTTCTCTTTCTCTTGCCAGAGATCACAAAGATCGTTGCTTAGCATTATCATTTTAATCATGTTAGATGTATTAGATGGAGAAATTTGTTTAGTCTTGGCGGAAGTTATCCTATTTTTTTCAAAAAACAATATTTCATGCATTTACATGCAGAATAACTGACATAGATTAAGCCTACGCTAACGAGTGCTAGTTAACTGCTATACAATTGCCCTGGTAGTTACTGTGTCCTAATCTAAATGCTAGACAAGCTGTTGTGTCTGCGCACGTCATTTAGAGATCGTTTAATCTAATGTGTAAAGAATATAAAGATTTGCTTTCTGTTGGTTATCGGAAGATTATATTTGATCATATCAATTTGATGTGTCTTTTTTATGTCAGTGACATGATTAAAGACTATCACTTCCGTTTAAAATATACTTGGAAGATCTGGTATTCAAATAGTCAAATATGTTAAGTGTGTTAAGTTTTAAGTTTTAATAAAATTAAAATCGTATCGTATTATAATACTGAATTCACACGAGAATTCCGTC